GAAAAATTTCTTAGAACTTCTTCAGCCACTCTATGCAATGCAAGAGTGAGGCAAGTAATACGGATTATTTTCGGGTAGATCATTTGAAGTCCTTTCACAGCCTTCCTCATGTATGGAGCAGCATCTTTTACTAGGAGGACACTATTTCGCTGTATTCCATCTGGCCACAGCATGTTCATGGAATTATCAAAATGGACAGGTATAGTCGAATGCTTTGCACTGTCAAGAACTTCACAGTCAAGAAGAAATATGTCTCTTGGTTGATCTTGTTTCAGGGTTCCAACTATAATTCATGATATACCCCCCATCTACATCAGAAGTCTCATTCAAGGAAACCCATATCTTGTTATCAGCAACAGGTGTTCGAATCTTATTCAACATATCTTCATAACATGTAGAGAGGTAATTTTTCTTAATGTCGATCACTTGGGATAGGATGACGAGTGTATGTCTCCAGAAATGTTCTGAAGTGATGATTTTGTAATTTCTCTATTGAAATATTCAAAGAAACCATCCATTGACACAAATCTTTCAAAAATTCTGACCCATTGATCGTTGGAGAAGAAGAAGAATTAGCAGAATTGTTTTTAAACAACAAACTTTGTCTGTTGTCCATTGTAGATAATCTGCTTAAACATTTAACATGTTTAAAAGTTTTACAATGCTGCTGCACAGTAAATTGCTTTCCTGCTGTAACTTGCATGCCACACAGCTTGTAATGAAATATGTCTCCAGTGGGTACTAAACACTTTTTCACCAAACTCCTGCACAAAACTGAACATGAACTACATGTACTCTAGGCATTGTAAAGTCAAGCTGAAATGTATGAAGGCCCTCCACGTATATAAATAAAATACTTTTAAGATTGGAATGGGCCGTGCCATAGCTCAAGCGGTTAGTCACTAGCTTCCCATCGCAGCGGCCTGGGTTCGATCCAGGGTCTGGTCAAGTGGGATTTGTTTTGGACAATGTGGCGCTGGGGCGGGTTTTCTCCGACTAGTTCAGTTTCCCCTGCCAGTCTTCATTCCACTAATTGCTCCACAATTACCCTCACCTATCATCTGGGGCTGGTACAGTAGGCCAGAAGTGGCCGCAGTGCAAGGGACTCAGCCCCACCCCACTAGCAAAAAAAAAAAAGAAGAAGAAGAAGAAGAAAGACTGGAATGGGTATATGCCTGGCTGGCTAGCCAGCCTTTCCCAGTCTCCATCTTACTATATGGTATATACTGTAGTAGGACGGAGACTGGGAAAAGCCAGCTAGCCAGGTTATAAATGTTGCATTCCACAAATTTTTCCTTTGTAACTGCAAGTACAGTCCAGTCAAAAGTGTGGTTTTTAATACAAACTTCGTGCACTTGAACTCTATGCCACATTGGAGCAACAGTCCAGTCTGAAATTTATTTTGTAGTACAAAACATTATGGAGCCAAAATTGTACCTTATATAAACGAATTTATTCTAAAATGAGAAAAATATGAGCTTATTTCAAAATTATGCCAAATTATGATGTAAAACCAATAAAACTTTAAAATATGCATTTGTGTGCACAATAATAATGATATAATTTCAATAAGAATGAGCGGAAATATATACAATTACATTTAAAAATAGGAATAAACACTAGGAAGAAAATATGACATGTCCTAGAGATTCGAGCCCTAATTATTACTATTGTTTTATATGGTTTAAGCTGCAGCAGTTGTTTTGCCCTTCTTGCACGCTCCTGTGACACTCCAGTCTCTCTCAGCTAGACATTGAGCACTGGGCACTTATTCTTTTGTTTTTTGTCTGTTAAGAGTCTCATTAATCAAAGTCTATTCACCAATATTATATTTAAGCATTCTGTTACACTCACACAATATATATGAGACAAACTTCGTCTTAAGTGCAACAATTTAATTGTAGTTCTTTCTTCTTCCCTTCCTCCACACTACATCTTTCGGCCCTAAATGGCCATCATCAGGTGTGTATTCTTATGTAGCTACTATACTGCCCGTAGTTTAAAATTTAAAATCACCAGTCTTTCCAATTGTATGTATGTATAAAATCTTTGTTAACCTACACACGTCAATTTGATTTCTAAAATTGGCACTTTTTTAAAACTTCAATTCAAATTAAAATGTCTATAAATTTTCTGTTCTTTTTCTTTTTCCAATTCTTTTTTTTTTTCAAATTTTTAAAAATTAAAATTTTCTCGGGGTACACGCCCCATGTCTGTAGTGCTGCAGTGGCCACTTCTTGTTTTATTGCTGTTCAGGATTTGTTCTGTGTAGGCTCTCTCTGTATGTGTCGCTGCTTATCTTTAATACATGTCTAAATTTTAAACTACGGTCAGTGTAGCAGCTACGTAAGAATACACACCTGATGATGGCCATTTAGGGCCGAAAGATGTAGTGTGGAGGAAGGGAAGAAGAAAGAACTACAATTAAATTGTTGCACTTAAGACGGAGTTTGTCTCATATCTATTCACCATATTGTGAATTGTTTGTCTCCTGGGACTCTTTCATTACAAAATTTTCACTGGCACTTACTAGCAGAATTGTATTTGGCATAAGTGTCATACAGAACTGCACATTGCTCTAAACTTTACTGCATCATGATAGAACACAGTGCTTACTAACGGTAATAGAACAAATGACTAATGGAGTTGATAACTGCCGCCCACTTCTGACAAATCATAAACACATTCCCACGCATGAACTTCATTGATTGCCGTGAAACATAATGCCATCAAGCCATCCACAAATTTAATAACTTCCCTTGGTTCGAAACATTATGGAACAGCAGGCATGCTCATTCATTTGCAAAATTCATATTTGACTCACAGTCGGCTGTGTGCTGGTCGCCGGGAAACGCGGGACCTTGAACCAGTCAACAACCATAAGAACCTCCCTGTACAAATACAAAAAGATAAATCTACTTAAAGATAAACACAACAAAGACAAAAAACATTCAATATGAGGTGCTATCAGAAAGTTATCGGACTTATTGTTGTAACTGCATTGGTGGAAGAAGATGAGAGGGGAGGCCAAGGTCACACTTCTGAAAGCCTGTTNACAGCAGGCATGCTCATTCATTTGCAAAATTCATATTTGACTCACAGTCGGCTGTGTGCTGGTCGCCGGGAAACGCGGGACCTTGAACCAGTCAACAACCATAAGAACCTCCCTGTACAAATACAAAAAGATAAATCTACTTAAAGATAAACACAACAAAGACAAAAAACATTCAATATGAGGTGCTATCAGAAAGTTATCGGACTTATTGTTGTAACTGCATTGGTGGAAGAAGATGAGAGGGGAGGCCAAGGTCACACTTCTGAAAGCCTGTTGCATCAGTCTGCCATATGACACCATGATCTGAACAGGCATTGTTTTTACTTTAATGCTTTTTTGACTTCGTATTTCCTTTTTTGTCTACGATGGATGGTAAAATCAAGCAATGTATCGAGTCTTGCATGAAACTTGGTAAATCCACTCCCAAAATTCTTGAAATGCTTCATGAAGCTTTTGGAGAATGTTCTTTAATTGGGACAGTGGTTTTCGAATGGCATTCATGTTTCAGGGCGGGGCAAGTGTCAGTTGAAGGTGACGAACATTCAGGGTGACCAAGCACCAGCAAAATGATAGAAAATGTTGAAGAATTTGAGAACTCGTCCACAAAGACTGTCACAAAACAATCCATGACCTTGCAGACACCATTGGGATCAGTCATGGAGTTTGCCAGGAGATCTCAACAGAAAATTTGAATGTGTGCCGTATTGCCCCCTCATCACGGCAACACACCCACCCACACATCCCTGAAAGCCACAGAGTTTGTGACTAACAACGTGGTTTTCGTTCCCCATCCTCCCTACTAGCCGGACTTAGCCCCCTGTGATTTCACCGTTTCCCAATTTGAAATGAAACTGAAGGGACGATGTTTTGAAACAGTATCTGACATCCAAAGGGAATCACAAGCGGTACTTGGCAGCATTGAGGAAAGTGTCTTCCACGGCGCGCTCGAAATATGGAAACTATAGAACTCTGTATACGTTCCCAAGGATACTGTTTTGAAAGAGATGGTAGACAGAATGAAGAAGTTAAGTCAGTATTTCTATTTTGACCTAGTCCAGGAACTTTGCAGTACATCTTGTATAGTATTTGCACATGGTCACCCATACAGCAAGCTGGTCACGGTAGCCAAGTGGTGTGTGTGCTTGTCTGTGTTTTTCTGTGTTTGTGTACAGGTAGAGACTTGTGACGAGCTGATCACCAGCCCAAGGAATCCTACCAGAATTCTGAGATCTGGTAAACCAAAATGAAACAGAGAGTGTCTTGGTGGTAGGCCAAGGCGTAAATTGGGGCTGTAGTGCCAAAAGAAAAAAAACATACACCGAACTGTGTGTTAAACACTGTACATCTTCCTGCTAGTAGCACCCCAGACACATCCAGAAGTAGTGGCCATTTTCTGGCAAAAGCCTAACGTTTACATTGTCAAGGAATGGTGTGGCAACCTTTAAGATGACTCATATGGATTTGCTCAGTGTATCAAGGTGGACATGTCTATTGAACTGACACTATGCTATTATTCTTTTTGAGGCCTTTTATACACACACACACACACACACACACAGATATGTAGTCACGTGTAGGGGGGTTTTGCCGGGCCATATGCACCCTTTCTTAGTATCATTTTTTAGCTCAGCCTTTATTGTTATTTCATTTTAGCAGCCATTCCACTATTAATTAGATGCCTGTCCAGCCTTACAAATGCATAATTTTATTTAATTTGGAATTTGTTCAACAGTGGCAGTGCAGCTTAATGTCTGTTGACTCAGAAACCTCCATACATGCTGATGGACTCAGGCACACACCACTCAAGGGGGTGTGCTCTCTCTGTCCCTCCCTCCCGTCTGTCACAACTCTCACACCTACCGATTTAACATCTCACTGTACTGTGGCTTCAAACTTATTTCTCTTCCTGTTAGGATTTTTCATGTAATTTACTCTCATTTTCCAGGGTAATTTGAATGAACTTCAACCCATACATGGTGAGGAGCGACGATATTCCTGTGATGAGTGTGGAGATTCATTCAGACAAGAGCAAATTATGATAGCACATCGACACATACATAGTGGGGAGCGGCCATTTTGTTGTATCGTGTGTAATAAGTCATTCAACTGTAAGAGTTATCTAAAGAGGCATCAGTGCATACATAGTGAGGAGCGGCCATTTATGTGTGATGTATGTAATAAGTCGTTCATTTTTAAGAGTAATCTGAAGAAGCATGTGCACATACACAGTGGGGAGCAACCATTTTGCTGTGATGTATGTAATAAGTCATTTAATCAGCAGAGTAATATGAAGAGACATCATCGCATACAGAGTGGGGAGAAGCCATTTTGCTGTGATGTATGTAATAAGTCATTCAGTATGCAGAGTCATCTGAAGAGACATCAGCGCATACATGCAGTAAATCATAGAGCAGCAGAGATGGATTTAGACTAAAGGAACAGTAATACAGTTTTGCTGTGTGTGGCATGCTTCAGTTTTATAGAATGCTACAATATATTGGAGTTGATTGCTTTTGAACTGACAGGAAATGAACTGAGTCCCATGGTACGAAAGATCTGTGCAAATGAGTTCAGCAGCATCATATGCTTTTTGCTGTACGTTACCTGTGCTCTTCTGCCATTACATGTGAGTAAATTCGTTGATCAGTTAGTTTCAGATTGATATTGTAACGTGTTTCATTACTGACGACGCCGTAGAGATGGTTAATTGGTTTATTTAACAATCTACAAACAACGGCTACAATTAATTATCACAATATTATGGGTTTCCACACTTTACAAACCCTACAACAAAATCTCTTAACACAATCTTCACTTGTCTTCAAGTACTAATAACGCAGGAGCTATACAAGTCTCCCTGAATTACACACTCCAGATATAACTGGTTATCCCGAACTGTCACTGACCTTCGCACACGCGTCTGTAGCTCGTAACTTGCGAACTGAGAACTCGTTGATAGCACATTGACTGGCTGACTGACTATACGACTCGACTCGGCGACTGTTACTTTATAACTGGGCGGCTGTCACAGTACAACTGAAGTCGCCGACTGCTACATTAGAACTGACTGGTAGCTGCTGTGCAGCTCACTTATATAGCTGCAGTGCTTGCCTGTTGCGTAATGAGTGCCACGTCATCCTGTTACGTCACCGCTGTTGACTCGCATTACATAATTACCAGGTTGCGGGGGCTCGGCTATCTTCGGCTCCGCTCGGCTCTCTTCGGCTCCGCTCGTGACGTCACCGCGGGGAGGGTGGCGGGGTGATGACTCGCCTATTACGCGAGCGCTACGTTACCGCTAAGTGCAGCTGGGGAGGTAGGGGTCAACATGTCACACTATATATATATTTATATATAGCCACCAGATCGCCAATACGGCCATTCCTTTAACAAGTATAATAGAATACAGTACAATAACTCCCTAGCAAACAAATAACAGATCACGATAGTTTAGCTTCCAGTTTAGTCTCACAGTTTAGCAAGCCTACAAATAATAGAATACATCATCACCCAAGAAAATAATAACCCAATATTTGCCAACCAAAAATGTAAATATAGGTATATATATATGAGTATATAGCCCCAGACCACCAATACAGCTATTCCTTGTCCCGAAGTTTCACGGGAAACCCTCCAAACCGAATTTAGAGTAGCCACTCCCAAAAGGAAGTTTGCTTGTTACCTCCTTCCCCGACGTCTCGTCCTAGAGTGTTCGTCTCTCCCTACCCTACAAGTTTCCATAAAACCAGAACCAGTAGGAGGGGAGGGGGGAATCACGTGATAGGTCAGGACGGAAGAACTTTCTAGACACAAGGAAAAGAAGAAAAAAGGGGTGGTAGGAAGAGAAGCCGCTGAAAGGAGCCTAAGTATGACGCATGGCTCAGGATCTCCCACTTCACAGTAGAACACTCTGTTCCAGGGCATAGCTCGAATTTTTCTCCAACACCGTCACATGTCGGATGCATCTCATAACATCACTCGCCGCACCGCGGTTCATGTAGATACACACCGCTGCCGAAATCACTAAGTTCGCTGTCCACCGTGCAGTGACAGTCACCAATGCGGACGTACCCTAGCGCTGCTCGGCAATCAGAGTAAACCACTCCCAGCACTGTCGGAATTAGGGCCCATTCGGAGCACCGGGCGGGAGCAGGCAAGCAAATGAGAAAACGTCGCCGCGGGGCGGCGTATGCCGTTCGACGCTGATGAGCCCTCCAAAAGGCGGGGGGTCCCGAACTTCCCGAAAACACGGCTAAGTGAAGGGTAAGGGTTAAGGAGGACAGGGCTAAGTCCCAGCTGGAACATACACCATAATCAATACATATATAAAATATAATTGACATGTACACCCTGAATACATAATGAATTCAACATACCAAGCTGATAACTACCCCGCCAAAATATATGGCTTGAGTTGAGATATGTGGGCTTTTCTTATGATAACCCCAGTTTCAGGGTTGGCCAGAAGAACCGTCACCGGCGATACAAACTTAGTTATGATGAGCGGTACCGACCACTTGAGATCGAGCTTGGCGGAACGCTGGCATGACTTAGAACTCAGCGGATGCAATAGAACTAAAACCGAGTCCCCCACATGAAACTCTCCCGGCATTCTCCCCGCATTGTACCTGGCTGCCACCCTAGCCCGAGCTTTCCTCAAATTAGCGAGGGTAGACTCCCAGTATTCACCCATATTCTTTGGGTCCCGCTGGAGCTCCAGCTCACGAAATTCCCATTTAAGGCCCAGGGGATGGTTCCTCTCCAACCCCAAAAATAGGGAAGCCGGAGTCGCTCCCGTCGACTCGTGCCACGCAGTGTTAAAGGCGATGGCCAACGATGGCAGATTTTCGTCCCAACGAGTGTGTTGACGGTGGTGATAAATGATCAGGGCAGCCTTCAAATTCCGATTAAACCGCTCAACCTGGGAAGCTTGAGGGTAATAAGGTGAAGTCGTGATGTGGCGAATGCCCCAAGAGAAGCACAGATTGTAGAACCGCCGCGACTTGAAGACTGCAGCATTGTCGGAAATGATAGCCTGGGGGACGCCGAACGTGGGGAAGAATTTCTCCACGAGGCAGTTTTCCACTACTTCGGAAGAAATTTTCCTCACTGGATACATAGACACAAACTTAGAAAACCCGTCTAACACCACCAATGTGGCTATGTTCCCCCTCCGACTCCTGATAATCGGCCCAAGAAAATCAATAAATATCCGTTCTAGGGGCCTCGTCACAATTTCGCTGTTATGGAGACCCACCCTAGAATCTTGGGCGGACTTGGCCCTCTGACAGTCCTGAAGACCCTTACGAACTGAACCGTGCAACGGTTCTTCGTGAAGTTCCTTGGAGTCCCCCCAGAAACGCCAGGATGCGAGCCGTTCCTCCTTCTCTCCAGTTAAAGCCCTTGGCTGATGTCAGGTCAGCTGACGTTGTCCCCCCCTCCTTGACGCATTCCGAGCTTTCGTGCGTAGTACAAACGAATGTATCTTTCTCTCTTCCTGTTGACCTCAGAAAGGTAACATCGCTGCGTCTAAATTTGGTTTCGTTATGTTGAATTGATCTTGGGGAAATTCGGTTTCGGCCCGTAGCAGTGTCTGAAGGGGGAAGAGTGCCCTCACGACGTGATCAAGGCTAGATCAAGTCGTGAGGTAAATCTTTGTTTGTAATTTAGGAAACGCAAGTAAGTGACTTACTGTTGTAGATGGTTGCCTTTCGATTATGAACGCCGTGTGAAGTAAGATAATTTGGTTTTGTTTTGGGTTGTGTTAAACAGCAGATCGCCCCTCAGGCTTGTATGTAACCTTTTTATATTTCCTTGTGCCCTCAAGGCATGCTTAAGTACATGTTTACACTGGAGAGGTAGAAAGACACCATGAGGCGTGCCTGACTTGAGTTCTGTGCGGCTAGGCACAGTGTAGTTCTGTATTAATTATTTATCACATGTTCTGACCAGTCCCTGCCCATCAGGCAGAGTCCACCTGTATACATGTGTTATCAGTATACATTTATTTATATGTTTGGAAACGCCAGTGTTTATGTATACTTGTGCAGTGTGTGCCCTACCAGTTCGGACTATCCGATCCGTCCAGCTTGGCCCATAGTGCCGACGAGATCCCTTACTCGACCTTGGGGAGGCATAGTACATCACGTTACAAGCAAGTCGTTTCTTATGAGCCTGTCCCTTACCCATTTGAGCAGGGGTTCACGGGTCTACGTGGGTAGAAGAACTGGGTTCTTTACCCACATGTTTAAGGGACACGGCTCAGAACTTGCAGATTCCCGACCTCATATTCGGCCAATAAAAGACCTTCACGATCCGGCTAAGCGTTTTGCTTACCCCCAAATGCGCACTCACCGTAGACCCGTGGAAATACTCAAGCACCATGGGCCTAAGTGCCTCCGTAATGACGTAGCGCTTAGCGCTGGCCCGAGAAGGATGATAAACAAAAGCCCCGTTAAGTAACTTGAATTGCTTAGCCACAGAGTCCTTCGGGGCAACTTTCGCGTATATGTCCTTACAAAAGGAATCCTCCTTTTGATATTCGTGGACTGATCGGAACGCCTCAGGCAGATGTAAGGCCAAACCCGTAAACGTAGGTTCACTCGGGAGGTATTCGTACTGTCGGGTAAGGCAGTCGGCCACCACATTAGATTTCACACTGACGTGACAGACTTGGAATTTGAACGGCGCAGACGCAACACCCACCGCCCTATACGCCCCAAATCTTTAGCGTGCCGTAGAAGCCAGGCTAGAGCTTGGTTGTCCGTTTGTAGACAAAACTCTTTGTGTTCCAAGTATGTCCAGTATTTTTCGCATCCCCAGACCACCTCGAGGCACTCTTTCTCGTGGGTGGAGTATCTCCTCTCGGCCTGGGAAAGAAAACGGCTACCGTAGGCGATCGGAGCTAATCCTTCCCCTTGCCTCTGATTTAGGACCGCAGAGACCGCGACGTCACTGGCCTCGCAGACGAGCGTAAATTCACGAAAAAATCCGGAATTTGTAATACTGGGGGCGTCAACAATGCTTCCTTAAGCCGTTCGAAGGCTGACTGTTGAACCTCGCCCCAGATGAACTTGGCGTTCTTGCGCTTAAGCGCATAGAGTGGTTCCGCAATCGACGAGAAATGTTCGATAAAACGTCCATAGAACCCTGCCATTCCCATAAATCACCGAAACCCCTTCAAGTTCCGGGGGGTCGGAAAATTACGAATGGCTTCCCCCGCTCAGGCAACATTTTAACCTCTTGGCTCCACACCAAATGCCCCAGGAAGGAAATCTCTCTTTGGGCCAGCCGAAGCTTATCCGGGTTTAAGGTGAACCCGGCCATTTCTAGTCTCTTAAACACCTCCGCCAAGTGCCAGAGGTGCTCGGCCAGCGAGCTAGAGTATACGACCAGGTCATCCATAAAGTTAGTCACGAATTTTTGTTTGAGGTCCCCAAACAGCGTGTCGATCACCCTCGATAGTACCTGGCACCCCACGCTTATCCCCATCGGCAACTTATTAAATTCAAAGAGCCCGAATTGGGTACAATAGGCCGCAGCCTTCCGGCTCTTAGCCGTCAGGGGGATTTGGTAATACGCCGAGTTAAGGTCGAGCACCGAAAATACTTCCGCATTGTGAAAATCAGCGAAGGCGTGCTCGACCATCGGCATTGGGAAGGCGTCGAAAACTACCTTTCTGTTTAACAGGCGATAGTCTATTACCATCCTATAATCACCGTGGGGTTTGGACACTAGAAACGCCGGGCTCGCGTACTGAGAAGAGCTCTTCCTTATCATGCCTTTATCTTGCAGGTCTTGGACTATACCCCTTAACATTTTCAAACGGGGAGGCGAACACTGGTACAGCCGCGACCGCACCGGAACGTTATCCGTCAACTCCAGGCGACACACCGTGCCCTTAGCAGTGCCCAGTTTATCCGAAAAGAGGGCAGGAAAGTTCCGCATCAACTCGTTAACTTTTTAGGAGTTATGCGGCACTTCCGGCACGCAGGGACACGCGAAACTACTGACCCCATTTCTGCACAAGGAAACACTTGTAAAGGGCTTCTGCAAAAATCTAGCGATTTGAATTCGAATTCTTCCTCCGGACGAAAGGCGAAACTATATGTCCCGGTCGCGAAATTCATTCGCACTTGGGTCCGCCCAAGAAAGTCGACTCCCAAAACGCAAGGGAAAGGACACTGTTTAAAAATCTGTAATCTAACTTTCCAATCAAGGCCGTGTAATTTGACCGACAGAATGACCGCTTCCTTAATATTACACGGTTCTCCATTAGTCGCCTGGCAACGTTTCCCTGTCGTTTCCAATTTGTGAGGCAATCCTAAGTTATAAATTTTATCCAGGACGTCCCGTCTTACAAAGGAGACGGACGACCCGGAATCAAGCATGGCCGGCAAGGAGAACCATCTAATATTCAGAAGGGCTCACGGATTACTGTGGCACCCCGCCATCCGATACGGACCTCTCTGAGACCGAGCTAACGCTGGCGCTCGGGTTTGACTCCCTACTCCCGAGCGCCTAGGGCGTTTCCCGACAAGACAGGATTGCGATTCGTCTGTCGCCGGGGGCAGTTGCGCCGGAATCGTCCATCCTCGCCACATCTCCAGCACCTCACTCTACTATCGACCTCGCCCTGCGCGGATCCAGTCACTATCATACTATTGGGAATAGTTTCAGAAGCCCCCCGAGACCGCGAAGTCGCGCCCAGCGATTTACGCTGTTCTTCAACAGCCATCCCTTCGGCCACGGTAGTCGCGAGAGCGTACAAATCCTTCACGGACTCTGGCCTAGTCGGGAACAAAATGTGGATGTAATGCCGCTAAGGTTACGTACATGTAGATATAGTTTGGGGGGAAAAATTGGAAAAATAGTAGCTAGACTGTAAGATTAAGAAACAGCCATGATGAAACAATTCAGGAAGCTTAGGTCTACAAAGAATTGTAACAGGGAATGCCTGAGTCATTAGAACGCTAACCTGGCAGTGTAATAGCGCTGACATTGAGGAACGAGCTATATGAAGTGGGTCATAAACACTATGGCAGGAGGAATACGCTGAGTCGGAGGAGGCGGTAGACCCGAAAGAGTCAACCCCTTCTCGAGGGGCAACCAATGAGGGAGGCCAAAATCACGTCAGAATGGGCAGGCAACCTACCCGGAACTCAAAGAATCAGCAAAGAGAGGTTATATAAACCCTAGAAAACTTAAACAAGAACCTTTTGCCTTTAGACTTTTGATTGATATTAAGTAACTTAGAGTTCAGGAGAGGCTATCGCCGAGAGAGCGATGGCCGTGAGTTTGCGCTGGTTGCTGATGACGAGCATCTTCTTCCTCATCTCAAGTAAGTGAAACCA